TCCCTCTCTCTTTTTCCCTCTCTTTCTCTTTCTCTTCCTCTCTCTCTCTCTCTCTCTCTCTTTCTCTCTATCTGTCTGTCTGTTTTTCTTTCACTCATGTACTTTTTTTTTATATCATATTTTCTGGACGATAGGGTCGTTGAATTTTTAGTTATAATTTTATAACAGCGAGTATTCTTTTTTTCTTTTTTTTTTTGCTTTCTTTGGTTCAGATAGATAGATAATAAGAGACAAGGAGAGTATGTGTGTGTGTATGTGTGTGTGATAGAAAGGTATTCTCTTGAATTATTAATAGACTTCCGTTCACCTCTTATCTCCATCCTTTATCGTATTAATCGAGAAAATGTTCTGATATCATCTCTGTAACAATTTATCCCTTTTATACATACACACACACACACATACACATATATATATATATATGTATATGTATATCGACCTTCACGGATTGACACGATGATCTACGAAGCACGCAGTAGATGCCAAGAAATGCGATTTCTCTGCTCTAGTAATAATAATATTATTAATAATAATAATAATAATAATAATAATAATAATTATAATAATAATAATAATAATAATGATGATGATGATGATGATAGTAGTGTGGTAGTAATAATATAATAATAAGCGTTACGATCAGGAACGAACGTCATCAGCTGTTGCTGACGTTACCTTTCTCAATAATTTTTACAATTACAAATAATTGTAACACTTATATGCGCAATTTTCTTTTTATTAAATAATAAAAAATGATTTAACACACCGCGACAATCCTTTATTATCGATAATAAATCCGATTATTTCCTTGTTTTCCTTTTTTACGCGATTTAACGAAAATATTATTAATCTTAAAATTGTTCTCTATTACGGAAATACAAACAAAAATTTGCTATTAAAAGAATCTAGTCACGTAATATAAGAAAAATAAATAAATCCCCTCTATACATCAAATTTCTTAAAAGATAAAAATGTTCATTTTGATCTATAAATTGTTCTCAATCGTATAAATATTTTCTATTCCAATAGTAATTACAAATATATATATAAATATATTTTTTCTTGTTGTTGTGTATGTTACTCTCGATTAATTTCTTTAAAATAGATGTTCTTTTGATAAGTAAGTAAAGCAACGACTCGCAGGAGCCAAGTAAGAGAGAGAGAAAGATAGAGAATGAGTAAAGAGGGCGTGAAGGGAAGGGTGAGGGTGAGGGAGGGTGGTTGCTACTAGTCGGCGAGGTGGCGCCCTCCCTTCGACGCCTTCGATCGACCATCCCTCTCTCTTTTTCCCTCTCTTTCTCTTTCTCTCTCTCTCTCTCTCTCTCTCTCTCTCTCTCTTCATCGTTGGAACGAACGTCCTACGATACGCGTAGAACCCAACGCGATTCAGGATCCAGGACATCCGACTTACCGCAGTAAAGCGGTCCTGCGTCGTTCCAGAATCCCTCGGAATAAGATATCGGGGACGAGTTTCGAAAGCTTTAAACATCCCCTATTCTTCCCCATCCCACCCCCAGCCCCAGCCCCCCGTCTCTCACTCTTTTTATTTTATTTATTTATTTTTTTTTCTTATATATTTTTTAACTCAATTTTTCATCCACCTGAGAGTAAAATCGAAACCATTCCGCGTATCATCGATGTATTCCACCACTTCCTAGTCTAATCAATTTATACTTCAATGGGGGGTGGTGGTTACGTTAATCCACTTGGATAGTTGCCTCTTGGTTAGTATACTTCATTTCTGAAGTATTCTATTGGGTATACGCGATGATATGGAGTAGCAGTAGCAGCAACAGTAGCAATCATCAGTAACAAACATTAAGCAATAGCAATAGTAATATTAGTAATAATAATAAAAATAATAATAATAATAATAATAATCATTTATTTACGAATATATATAAGCAATCAATGAAACAAAAAATCCAAGTAATCTTTATTATAATATTTCTATATCGGTTAGAGTTAAGATTGAAACTATGGTTGAAGTCAAACTACGAGAAGGGTTTCAAATAAAGGTAACATATTCTATGTACATATATGCGTGGAAAAAGAAAGAAAAAGAGAGAGATAGCAATGGTGGTAGTATTAGTAGTAGTAATAGTGGTAGTGGTGGTGGTTAGTGGTGGTGGTGGTGGTTGATAACGGAAGAGTGGGGGTATTCGAGAGGGGGTAGTCAACGGCAGCAGAGAGGGTGAGTCTCAGTCGCCACTCGGTCACCCTGCCGAACGGCTGGGGGTTCCAAGTTGTCGTTTATTTATTTGTTGTCGGTATAAAAGCGCGAGATAAAGGTGGTGATCTCTAACGCGCTTAGATCTCGGGGGAAACGCGCGAGACGCATATATACGCCTATATCGTCCCTCTCTCTCTCTCTCTCTCTCTTTCCACCTTTCTCTCTCTCTCTCTCTCTCTCTCTCTCTTTCTCTTTCTTTCTATCTCTCTCTCTCTCTCTCTGTCCTATCTTTCAATTTTTTTGATTTCATCCATCTTTGCACCCACCCCCCTTCCCCCAATAACCATCTCACCTTCGTAAATCGTGTTCGTGTTTTAAAAGAAAGATAAAAAGAAACCCCTGTTCACGTACAATCATCTACCCAGCCACCCCTAAATTATACTTTGGAATTTATCGTCGAGTGAACACAGATCAAGAATAAGAATAAGAAGAAGAAGAAGAAGAAGACGAGTAGTGTTATCCTTTTCATTATTTTTCTTTCTATTTCTTTCTTCTTTTTTTTGTTTTTTTTTTTGTTTTTTTTTTTCATTTTGATCGTATACGTTCTCTTGTTACCGTTCGGTAACCGTCGTCGTGTGGACGCGTACCCGCAACCGGTCAGCGCGTGTGCACCCGACAACGATCGATCCTCACCCCGATAGAGATCCAGAGAGAAGAGAAACGATGGACGGAACCACCCTTCCACGAGACGACGACGCCAGATAAGAAGCAACCCAACAGGATAAATCCTTGTTTCTTTGTTTCTTCCTTCCTTCCTTCCTTTCTTTCTTTCTTTTCTTCTTTCTTTCTTTCTTTCTTTCTTTCTTTCTATTTCTATTTCTATCTCTATCTATCTTGGTTGCTTCTTCGTTCCGGTACTTTATCAACGATTCGAGGAATATCTTCTTATCACGGTACGACGTCGTTTCTACCGAATCATTATTTTGTACTTTTTATTTTTTGTATTATACGTTTATCTCTCTCTTTCTCTTTATAATCATTTTAGTTTTGTGAAGAATATAAAATGAATTATTATCTTAGTTACTTATTTACTTACTTTCAAAATGACTAATGATCGATCGTTCGAACACGAGACTTGGGATTATCTCATTGTTAGAATTTTATTATAATTTAATTGATATTGTGTGTATAAAGTAAATGAGAGAATGAGAGAAAGAGAGAGAGGGAAAATGTAAAAGAACAAAATTTAAATGGACGTATCTTTCTTCGTTCACGAAATGAACTTCACTGCCACGCTCGATCGACTTTAACTGTGCGAATGTCTGCCTGCCTACTGTTACTCCTACACTGCTGCTAGTGTGTGTGTTTTTGTGTATGTGTGTATCTTATGTGTTCGTTTTAAGAAAGTTAATTTTACGAACGCTAACAACACTTTTTTTCTTTTTTTTTTTTTTTTTCTTTTTATCAGGCCATTAGTATCGTGTTTCTATATGTTCAGGTGTTCAGGTTCTTGGTTTACTTAATTTTTTTCTTCTTGTTGAAATAACTGAAAAAACGTTTGTTACGATTCTTTAGCCCCTTTGATGGAGCAGGGGGTGGGTGGTTAGATTGTTAAATAAAAATATTTATTTATTCACAAAAAGAAAATATAGGAATAAGAGTGTAGGGGTTATATTGTAACAGTTGACAAGAAAACATTTCTGACGAACGTATCGTTTGTTTTTCTCGTGTGCCAGATAAAATGATTATCAAGTATATTGATTTATTTCAAGCGATTAATAATATTAATTAATCGGTTAATTAAGTTTTTTTCTTTTTTTTTCTTCGATCAAATTTTATTATCATTTCGGAACGAATTAAATATAAAAAAGAAATCATGTGTTTTCTAATACGTGTATATTAAGATTTTTGTTCGTTAGAAAGAGGAGAGCACGTGCGTGACCGATTGAACCTTAGACACCCTTTCGTGCCTTTCCTTAGGTTAGAGGACGACAGCTGTGCGCCGTTTTCAATCCTTTCGTTGACCTTCGTCACTATCTTCCTTCGTGATATTGATCGATATAATATTGTAACAATATTGGAATACCTGTAGACAAAAATTTTGGTAAAGTTAATTATATTATTTTTAAGGTGGATGGGTGGGGAGACGAGGGGTGGGTTTAAGGAATTCGTCAAAATATTTTAAGAAGTATCGAAGATGTAGAATATATTTGTTTAAAAGATCACAGCCGATATACATAGTGAATGTTTATAGTTATTGGTCACTGTGTATAATATACGGCAAATTTTTGAACTTTTCAAATGCATTTTTGTAAAATGATATTAGAATCGTACTTACATTTTTATTTTTTGTTTCTTAATTATTTGTATCATCAAATACCTTTGTATTATTTTATTTTGTTTTGTTTCTTTTTTGTTTATCATATTTATTTGTACGTGTAATCGTGATAGTGATCTAATTAAATGAATTTAACGATAATTCATTACACACGATTCATATTATATTAATGTAAAATAATTTTCAATTAGAGAAAATATATTATAAAATCATCGAACTATACTTTTTTTTATAACAATCAAAGTATATTTATATAAATAATATAATCATCTATCGAATTATTTCACACAACGAATTATATTATTATTATTATTATAATATATTAATTATATCTCTAAAAAAGAATTATTTTTGTAAGTATGACTTTTTCTTTAAATTAATTTAACATTCGTTACACGGTAGATAATTTTAATAATAGATGATGCTACACATCACTTTGTAGAATGGAAAAAATAATTACAATCAATGATTAGAAATATTATTTAAATAATTTTAACATATATATGCACACACACATATATATATATATATATATTTGTCATTGTTTAATACAAAAGAAAAGTAGAAGAAGAAGAAGAAGAAGAAGAGAAAAAAAAAACAAAGAAGATAAAAAAAAAATATAAAAGAAGGGAGACACGAGTGATGATTATACAGTGTGGCCAATAAAGGTATTGTTCATAGTCCCGACCTGAATGGTTCCTCAGAAGAGCATCTTTTCAAAGCAACTGACATTTCTTTCCAGTATTATTTTTTTTTTCCGATTTCGTAACAAAGCAGAAAAACAGAGAGAGAGAGAGAGAGAAAGAAAGAAAGAAGAAGAAGAAGAAGAAGCAGAAGAAGACAAAAAAAAACAGTCTAATTTCATCCCTTATTTTTTTTTTCCATTTCTTTTATTTCTTTCCATTACTGCGATTTCCTTTAAGCGGTTGGCATGTTATCCCAATGTTTACGAGGAATGAATGATCCATCCATAGTTTTCTGTATTTACTACCTATGACAGAAAAAATAGTAAGATAAAAAAATCAAAAAAAAACAAAAAAAAACAAAAAAGAGACAAGGATGTTACCAAAACTATTCTTTTCGTTTAGTCAACTATCAACTTTTCTCTTTCTTTCTTTCTTTCTTTCTCTCTCTCTCTCTCTCTCTCTCTCTCTCTCTCTCTCTCTCTCTCTCACTTTTTCTATCGTTTTTTGGACCGAGGCCAACTTTATATTCACAGACTTTTTCCACGATTCGGAAGAAAAAAGAAAAAAAAAGAAACTACTGCTGCTGGGCTCACGTTGAGATCGCGTTTGAACTTTTTTTTTTCTTTTTCGTTTTCTTTTTTCTTTTTTTTTACCACCCCCACCGGCACCCTTTGACGATTAATCGTTGACGAATTATATTAGATACATTTGTTACAATCTAATCGAGATCAAACTATTATCACTTCGTTATCAACTTTTCTACGCGTAACACGTTTATTATATTATATTTCTTATATTAATTAATTTTTCTTTTTCTTTTCCTTTTCTTTTTCTTTACTTTTCTTTTTCTTTTCCTTTTCTTTCTTCGAGTCTTTAATAATATTAAAGCGCGTGAAAGTACATTAACCCTCGCGCGTTAAAGTTATTATTAAATATATCAACTCTGTGTTTCTATCCCACTTTCCAAGAGTTACACTTTTGTTTCTTATATACTTTTTATAATATTAAAAAAGGTATACGCGAGAAAATGCGATAAGTTTGGATAAAATGTGATCATAAAATAAAAAGAAAAACTGATAACCTCGTGTATATATTTCTATAATAATTTATTATTATATTCGTTGTCACATAAAATTTAATTGATAAAAATACGCGTACGTATACGAATCAAAAAAAAAATAGAAAAAAGAAAAAAATAATAAATCGAACTAAAAATGAATTGCAAATGAGTTCTCGCGATTGAAGGTTCGTATTTTTTTTTGTTTATTTTTTTTAGAAAAAGAAAAAATAAAATTAGAAATTAGAAATATTTGTTCGATTATATAAATATAAATTTTGTGTTAAAAAAATATATAGGAAGAATAAATAAATTATTGATGAGATATAACGATTGTGTGATGATATTATTCGGAAAAGGGGCTAACGATCGTTAACGTTGGCTAAGGGAAAGTTACTATATCGTTCTTTTCAACATGAAACAAGGAGGATACACGAGGCAGTTTGCCAAGATAAAGAAGTTCCCGATATATCGTCGTTTACTTATGATCATATACACTGTAATATGATGTATATATATAAATATATATCACTGTATATATATACATAGATATAAATTTAAAAACGTGTAAGGTCATATCCAGTACTTTCTTGGCAATAAATTCACATTCTAATCTATTCATTGTATGGAAAATAGGCTTATAGAGTCTTTCGATTTGTTTTAGTTTATTTCAAAATTAACATTTATTTTATAATATTATCATACTTAATCAGTTAATTTATGCGTTATCTATGAAAAATACAGAATTACGTGTAATAGTTATAACGTTCAATTAAATCTGTTATTAAAATGACTGTTGTATTTTGTGTTATTCGTATATTAGAAAAATTGATATATAATTTTATTATTAACACATACACATTTATTTATTTATATTTTAAATATCTTTGCGTTAGGATAACAACATATTACAATAATAATAATAATAATAATAATATACAATAACAATAATGATAACTAACTTACGATAAATTTTTTGATTTACTTATTGTCAATTACATTTAACATATTATGATATTATCATAGATAAACTAATTGAAATAATAGTATAATTGTATTTGTTTAAAAAAGAAAGAAAAAAGGGAAATAGTAGATTATGTTATTCTTATATAACAATGTAATATGTTAAAGTGGAAAGAAAATGTAAAGAAAGGTAGATTGATATCTTCGTTGTGAAATAATGCTATATGGTTTTTAACTGACATAATCTTTCTTTCTTTTTCTCTCTCTCTCTCTCTCTCTCTCTTACTTCTTGATATATTTCAAATTCTGCTGACCGGAAAAAGCGTAAAACTTATTCGATGAAATAGTTCTTGAGCTTGCTTGGAAAATAGGACGACTGGGAGTAAAAGGGACGATACTGGGGATGATACTGTTTTATAGGTTTTTCCTTCAAAGTGGGTCCTTATTTTTACTGAGGAAAAAGATACAGAGGGATGAATTGATAGAAAAGATATATAGTGTAAGAAAAAAGGAAAGAAAAGAAAAAAGGAGAAGAAGAAAGTAGTATGACGAAAGTAATAGCAAATTTGGTTAGAAAATGTTGTCGAGTGGAATCGAGAAAAGCAAGGGCTGTATTTTATTTTTTTTTTTTTAAACCCAGCCCCAATCCCAACCCCCACATTCCTTTTTTTACAAATTCATCGTTAAGTTAAAAGTTCTTTAAGTGGTATATTAATTATTAAAATGATTTTTTAAACATCGTTTCTTTATTTTTTTTTCGTTGTTGTCAATTTTTTAGATTTCTACTTATAAACTCGTTGTTTTATAAACAAGCCTATAGAAAATAAATAATTAATCCAAAAAGTATATATATATTGAAAAATTAATATCTTTTCTTTTTAAGACAGATATTTTAGGTTCAGAAGTTAA